AGGTCAGCCCAGGACAGAGGGCACAGAGGGCCGCTGAGCCACCACCCTCCTCTGGGCCCTCCACATCCTTGCACTCAGATGGCGCTCGCTGTGCAGCTGAAAAAAAGCCGAGGGCCTCAGGGGGGAGAGTACTCCTTCTGTCTTCTGCACACAGTCCCCTCCGATGTCCCTCTGAGGAGAGGCCTTGAGTATCTTGCCCTGGAGGTTCTCAACCAGTGTGGTCAGGGTTGGGTCCCGGTGGCAGTGGGGGAGGGGGACCATCTGAGAACAGGAGGACCCTGAGGGGGTGGTGGGGGGTCAAGGAAGGAGAAATGAACTAGGGGTGGTAGAAGGGGAGTGATGTGGCCATGTCCTGGTTCTGGGAGCCTTAATCTAGCCACACACTCAAGGTCACAGGGACCAGCCAGGAAGTGACGGAGCAGTCCTGGACAGAGTCAGTGCAGCTGAGGGTGAGACACCGAGGCCCCTGCCCCCAGCCCAGGGTGGGGGACCAAGGCCTAGAGTTCCGGCTGGGACAGGGTCCTAGCCAGGAGCCTCCCACATTTCTGGACTGTTTCCACCAGCACTCGCGACAAATTCAGCCACACCTATGTCTTTTGGCAGCTTGTGGCCAAGGTCACTCTCAGCACACAGGGGAACCCAGATGAGGACCCCCTACTGCTGTCCAGGAGTGGAACAGGGAACCTGTGCAGGGAAGGCTGGGGGGCTGGCAGCTGGGCAACCCTGGGGCAGGGTGGACAGGAGCCCCCCAGGGAGGATGGTTTGACTGAGGAGTCCCGCGTCTGGGAATTGCCAGCAGGTACATGTGCACAGGAAATCACCCATACAGGGGTATTCCCCTTGCACAGAGGCAGGGATGCCTGTCAACCGCCCCATCACAGAAACCACCCTGTGCCAGCCGGTGGGGGGGACCCCAACACAGGAGGTGCGGGGCGACCTGCCATGGCGAGGCAGTTTCTGCAGGATGCTGGGGGCAGCTGCCTTTGGGGAGAGGTACTTGGGTGCCTACTTCTCTCCATGTGTTTGGTTTTTTTTTTTCCTATTGGGATTTTCTATATCATCCGTTACTTTAATAAAAACTCACATTTTATTTACTTATTTAGCTCCATGCCCAACATGGAACCCAACTTGGGGCTTGAACTCATCACCCTGACATCAAGACCTGAGTTGAGATCAAGAGCCAGACACTCAACCAACCGAGCCACCCAGGTGTCCCAAAAACTCACATTAAGAAAAAAAAAAAAAAAGGCAGAATAATAGCTTTAAAAAGGAGGGAAAACCTGATACAAACTCATCCATGTTAGGATATCATAATGGGAGTGAGATAAGCCAGTCACTAAGCTATGAAGCCCCTTGAGGGGTCATGTGCTCAGGGACAGGAAGGAGACGGGGGCGGGGGTGGGGGTGGGAGGGGGCGCCAGGGGCTGGGGGTGGGGGTGGGGAGTCTGTGTTTCATAGGGACAGAGTTGCAGTTTGGAAGATACAGAATCCTGGAGATGGACGGTGGGGACGGGAGATGAAGAACCTTCACCAACCATGTGAAGGTACTTAAAGCCACCGAACTGGCTGCTTAGAATGGCTAAATTTATTTGTATTTTAACACCATTAAAAACTTATTTAAAAGGGTGGGGTAAAAGGGCAATCAGATCTGAGTCAGCAGCTAATGCTGGGTTCCCTCGGCTTGCAGCCTCACCTGAACCGCTCCCCGCCCCCGCAAGTCCCCAGAGTCCATCCTGGCCCACCTCACTGTCTCCAGTGTTAGATGGAGGTTGGAGCACCGGGTAGAACCTCCTCGAGTCCTTCCAGTGTGACATCTCTCAGGGTTCCGTCTTCATGGAGATTATGGAGATTATGATTTCCTTCTGTTGTTCTCTGAAGGCAGGTGGGCTCCCACGACCATGCCTCCACCTCCCCTTACTCCCCGGCTGGGCCCCAACCTGCGGGCAGGGACATGAACCCACTTCCGGCCGAGTGGAGGGTGCTCTGACCCCGTCCGGGTTTGAGGTCCAGCTCTCCCAACTCCAGATGGCCTGTACCTTCTCCCTGGGACCTCGGTCCAAGCTGCTGCACCGGGCCACGTGCGGGAGCTCGGCGACACTGGGCGGTGAGACAAGGCGCTGGAGACTCTCGGGCGAGCTGCCAGCGGTTCGACGGTTCAGGTCTCACTCCACACCCAGGGCCCTTGGCCTCCTAGAGAGGTCCTAGGCACCCAGTCCCCACCCCACGCCCTTCTGCGACTGCCTTGAGGTCAACTGGCTGTTCAGAACAGGTGGCCTCCTTCCCAGCCAGAACGTCAAGGGTAAGGTGCGGTTATACTTTGCAAAAGGTGTAACAGGATAACAGAAGAGAGAAGTAATACAATAGTAACATAATAATAACGGAATGAATATGCACCAGGCCCCCCTGGAAGCCCCCACCCCCTCACCTCCCCAGGCACCACAGGCAGGCTGCCTCCACCACCCTGGGGAGGGGAGGGCCGCCTACCTGGTCCTGTGGCTTGGCCCCTCCCCAGACTTGGAGGAGGGAGGAAGGGAGGTGCATGGCGGGGAGGAGGGAGGACTGCTGTGTTCACGGCCATTCTTCATTGTGTGGCGATCAACTGCGGCAGACGGTGGCTTGGCACTACAGGCCCTTAGGATCCGGGACCTCCGTGGGTAAGTCCAGGCCCAGCAGGCTGGTCCCCTGCTCAGCACCTCGCCAGGCTGCAGGCCTGGTGTCCGCAGGGCCAGGTCATGCCCCCTTTCCCAACAGGGCCAGCAGGTGACCCTCCTTCCCATTTCTCATCACAGCCACAGGCCCCGCCCACTCTGCACACCGATGCCCTTCCCTTTCAGGAGGCTGCCTGGCCAGGGCCGGCACCCCCGGACACCCCTCTCAGTGCTTCCAAGCAGGCCAGTCCGTGAGGACACAGGGCCCTGGGACCCATTCTCGATGTGGGCTCGAGGCAAGGAGGAATCTGGACAGTACTGAGCCTCATTCACTGAACTCCCCGGGGGGCCCAGACTCTGGAGGGGAAAGTGTGCACAACCGGGGGCCACTGTGTGTGTGGGGGGGTGCCCATGGATGACAGGGTCCCTGGAAGGCAGCAGGGGCCACTTGGGGGAGATTGAGGACCACAGGCCCAGTGGGCAGAAAGGCCAGCCAGTAGCCTCAAGGGGTATCTGCTAAGGGGACCCTAAGAAGAGCTGTGGTCTCCTACTTCCCTGGAGGTGGGGCCCGAGCGAGTTCAGAGGGGTGATGACGAAGTCACAGGTGTGTTGAGAAAAAAGGGGGCCCAGCTGGGAGCAGGGGTCATGGAGGGAGGGTGGCTTTGTGGGCTGCGGGAGGGAAAGACCCATGTTGGGCAGGCGGAGAAAGCTCAGAGCCAACCCCAGTCTTTAAATTGGGTTTCCCATGGGCAACATCTCTCCTTCCTATTGAAAATAAAAGCTGAGTTGGGAATGAACATTCCAGAAAACTGTGGGTGGGGACAGGACCCTCCTGCAGAGGCGCGGGGTGGCCACAGGGGGGCGGCACTTGGGGTCTGGGAATCGCAGGGGCGCAGGTGCATATGGGGATTCGGAGACAAGCAACGACCAAGAGACCTCACGGAGTTAGGTCAATATTTAATTTTTAACTTTAATGTGCAAATAAATAGAAAAGGAAAACTACATTCAAAACAGCTGCAAAGGAAGTACAAGCCCCAGAACAGAAATTCTTCAAAAACAGAAGAGAGGCTCCCTAGAAGCATGCAGGGTGGGGCTCGGCGGGGTGTGGCCCGCACCCCAGGCCCACACGGAGGCACGGCAGGGGCCACGGGCTCCCGAGGATGGCGCCGGGAGGGTCTGGTTCAGGGATTCCGGTAAGTTCCCTTCTTACAAAACAAGGATGTAGACAAAGTGCCTGGTAGACTTGAGCAAACACGGGCTAGGAGACCCTGGGCAGGGCACACTGGCCCTATAATCACCCAGACCCCAAGTCAAAGGCTTTGCAAATCTTGAGTTCCACAGGTAACTTCTAGAAAACTTCTAGAAACATGTCTCCACTTCCCAGAACCGTGGATTTGGCACAGCTGTTTTTGGGAGGGTGAGGGCTGTCACTGGGTGGGTGGGAGAAAGGCTGCACACAAGGATGGTTCTGGGCCCCCCGTTGGTCGATCCCCTTTTGAGGGTGCCAGGAGCCTAACTAGGGCCTCTCAGGGTGCAAGAATTCTAAAGAGCTGGTCCCCAGCCCGAACCGCTTGGCATTCTTGGCATAGAAAGCCTTGCACACCTCTGTATGACAGTTGCCTCAGCCCCTCACGCCCATATCCGGTCCAGGCACTGGCTGTAGGAATGGCAATGTCAAGGACAGATCTGCAGAGTCCCATGAAGGCTCTCACTGCCCAAGGAACCAAGGGACTTGGCTGTTACAGAAGTTACAACCACTAAGAGAGCTTATGAATAAATATGTGTGCATATATATATTTCTAGAATGTCCTTCTTAGGTACAGGGCACCCCTGGGCCCTCTCAGTGTGGGCCGTTTGAGCTCACTGGGAGTTTCAGGCTGAGCCCCCTCCCCTTGAGAGGCCAGGAAAATACAGGTTTGGAGTCTCATTTTTTCCAGAGTGGGGTCTTCTCAACAGTTCTGGTGCTGCCTGCCCACTCCACATCTTGACAACAGAGCAGAATCTCAACAGTTTGGCTGAAAGGGCCCCTCCTGCTTTCAAAGTGACCAAGGACCCCAAGCATCAGCTGAACCTAGCCCATGCCCCAACGATCAGATGAAGGCAGGGCCCAGCTCGGGAAGTTTCCAGAAGCTTTCAGAACCGTTCAGGAAGGACGTGCTTTTCAAGCAGATCCACCCCGGCCCAACTCCTTCAATGTTGGGGTCTCCTGAACGCCGACCCCCAACCAAGCACATGGTTCAGCACAGACTTTTCCAGACACTGTATGCACAAAGGGACAAATGGTGCCCCCGTCTTGGGATTTGGCACGTGTGACGAAAGCGGCCCAGCAGGTGCATAAAGGCAATCGCTCCTGGGCCAGTGTGTGGCTCCTCCTCCTTCCAGCAGGGAGTGAGCCCCCAGAGGTCAAGGGCAGGAGGGGCTCAGGTTTGGCACAGGACAGGCCCAAAGGAAGCAGGGAAGCCGAAAGGGATGGCGGCACAGGGCCACAAGCCAACACGACCCCATCGCGCTCTGGCGCTCACAGCCTGTGGCAGCAAGGCTGGGGGACACACTGCTCCCCTCAGGTTGTTCGTGAAAAGGCCCCGGGGCTGCTCCGGGCCGAGGCGGCAGCCATGCGGGGGTTAGGGTGAGGCTGGGCGGCGGCCGTACTGCACACGGTAGCGGGTCACGGGCAGCCCGTGCACACGCGCTGTCTCGCAGAGCGTCTTGCAGGGTACCATGTCCTCGTCCTCCTCGCCCATCAGCCAGTCCTGCACCAGGCCGGCCGCCTCCACCGTCACGTTGTCCTCCAGCCAGCGGCCATGCCACTCCTCGAAGTGCTGGTGGTGGCGCAGCAGGACCAGGGGCTGTACCTGAGGGGGGGATGGGTGTGGAGTCAGGGCAGCCCCAGATGGCCGGGGGTGGGGGTCAGTGGGAACCCGGGAGCGCACCCCTCCTAGATGGCCAGGGGTGGGAACCCGGAGACACACTCCCTCCCTGAGGCCCATGGCCAGACCCCAGGCCTCTGGGCCGCGGAGCCAGGCGGGCACCTGCTTGGCCCGGCAGAGGGTCCCGCGGCGGTACATGTAGTCCTCAGAGTTGACGATGAACAGCATCTTGTGGGTGCTGAGCTTGAAGCGGCAGTCCACGTTGCAGGCGCTCTCCACCCCGACCAGCCGCTTCCAGGAGCTCTTGGCCTCACCGCGCAGAGCGCGCACCTGCTCACACTGCCACCTGCGGAACTTCTTGAGGTTCCTGGGAGGAGAGGAGGAACTGCAGACTGGGAAATCCTCATGGCCCGTAAGCATCGGGAAGGCATCCCACTTCCCCCGGGTCGGAGAAAGGCAAGCAGAAGCAGTGGAAATCTCCACCCAAACCCCTCCACTGGCGCCACGGGAAACCCAGTCAGACCCCCAATCAGACCCCCAGTCAGACCCCGCGCTGCCGGCGGCGGGAGGGGCCTCCCTGGGTTCGCGGGGAGGAACCGCGTCTGCGGGTCCTCTTACCTCTGCAGGAACACGGGCTTCAGGAGGAAGCCCTCGGTGGGCGAGCTGGACGCCCCCTCGGTCCCCACGTACTGCTCCACGTAGCGAGCCAGGTGCTGTGGGGCCGGAGGGAGACAGGCCTGTGTTTTCATCCCTGCTCCCCAAAGCTCTAGCAGGATGGCAGCCAGGGAGGAGTGGATGCAAAACCGAAACCACCAGACGGCAGCTCCGGAGTGACCGCCGGTCCACAGCCCGGAGTTCGACAGCTGTGGCACTTGGCGCTCCCGTGGTAAATCCCTCCCTCGTACCACCCTCACATGACAAGCGCCCATGGGGAACAGGGCCCCCGCAGAGAGAGCCGGGTCGGAGAGCAGGAACGACACCAGGGCCCATGCAGCAGGGCAAGGCCAGGGAGGGGATGGGGGTGAGAAGGCGCGGCTGGCAGGGGCTGCCCAGGGCTGGGGTGGGTACGGCCTGCAGCGTCCAGGGGACGCTTCACCTGCTTGCCACCCTCCGAAAGCCAGAGGCTCCTCCAGACTCACGCCTAACCAAACCACATTTGCTGGAAATTTCTGGAAGGGGCAGAATGTACAGACCCCCACCCACACTCGTCTTGGAAAGCACTTCATGTGTGGGGAGCCTTGAAGCACGCAGGGAAGGATGCGGTGGGGGGGCCCCCACTGGCTGGGGGCTGAAGCCCCAGGACCCCAGGTGGACTGTGTGTCTCGGAGTGCGGGCTGGGGGCGTTCTCCAACTCAAGAGAGTTCGAGAACTCTTCCAGTCCAACATGACCGGAAGCCAGGGCTCTGAGCTATGCGCCCGGGGAGTGCGGGGTCACGCACCCCAGGGGGACATCACAGTGTTGGCAGCAGGAACAGGGCTGTGGGGGGAGGGCGGCCTGGCTCTCACATGGCCTCCTGCCGCGGGACACCCCCAGTGGCTCCTGGGGGCGCACATGCAGCTGCCATCCCCTGTCAGGCTTCCACAGACAGCGCTGGGGCTGCCAAGTGAGGCTGCTCCGGGTGGGACATTCTGTAGCCTGTGCCGTGTGCCCAGGGCTTGTGGTGGGTGGGGAGCCCCCCAGGGCTGCCTGTGGCTGCCCCTGACCCCCACAGCATGTTCAAGGTGCAGAATCCAGACGGGGGTTCTCACCTGGACCTCCACAGGGTCCTCAGTCTGGGCCTCCTCGGTGTCCAGAAGCTCGATGGTCATGATCACCTGCCCCTTGCGCTGGAGGAACATGACCTGGGAAGGGATCGATGAGCAGCTGAAGCCGCGGGGGAGCCGGGCAGAGGCTGACGGGTCATCTACGACGGCCTCCCCCAGCCTGCAGGGGCCCAGTAAGAGGAGTGGGGGTACCACATCGAGTGAGGCCTCCTGCGCCCAAGCCAAGCCGCGGGTCCTCCCCCGTCGCGGGTGCCCTCCTCGCAGCCCCAGCCTCGTGGCGGCGCAGAGAGCAGCAACCCCTCACCTTGAAGCAGTTCTCGTCTGCCATGCAGCGCTCGGCCTTCCACTGGTAGCTGGTCTCCCTGGCGGCGCGGACGCAGCGGGAGGACAGGCTCCCCCCGGCGGCCCCCCGCTTCTTCTCGTTCAGGTAGAGCTCCACCACCTTCAGACAGACGTCGTCACTCACGAGGTGGTGCAGCTGGGGGGAGGGAGAGCCAGTGGGTGCCCCGCGTGCGCGCCCCCTGGGAGGGGTGAGGCGCAGCTGCTGTCCACCGCTGGCCAGAGGCCGCACCTCGCCCAGAGAGGGGGTCAGCCAAGGCCTCGAGGGGAGGTCGGCCCGTGGGGCTGTGCTGGGCAGCCGCGGCGCTGGGGGCTGACGCCACCAGGCCAGATCAGAAAGCAGCGCAGACCGCAGCAGACCGGACTGGACCAGCGGGCCCTGCCTGGGCGTGAGGAACGCACAGAGGAAGTCCTAGAGCACAAGTGCCAGAACAGGGACAATTCTTGTAATCGCTGCAAACGCAGGCACAGGAAGACAGCAGCGAGGGAGCCGGGCAGCGGGGTCAGGCCGAGCAGGTGGGAGTCGACACCCCTGGGCACCGGCCATGGCCCCAGACCGGCTCCTGCAGACCCAGGGCCTTCCCTGCGGCTGCTCTGCTGAATAAACACAACGTGTGGCCACTAGGCGAGATCCCAGTAAGCACTGGCTGCTGTCACCAAAAAGAAGAAATGCTCAACCAACAGGCTGAAAGAGGCAGAGTGCGACAGCTTGGCCCTGCAGGCTGCCGACGGCGCCACGGACGGGGCCCCGCAAGCACCCGGCCTGCTGGAAAGCGGGGAGCTAAGGGCAGGGCATCCTGGCCCAACCAGGGCTTCAGCTAAATAGCTCCATTTTTCTTGCTCCCTTTTTCTTTAAAAAAAAAAAAAAAAAAAAAAGACTTCTAGGGGCGTCTGGGTGGCCCAGTCAGTTGTGTCTGCCTTCGGCTCACGTCATGATCTCAGGGTCCTGGGATCGAGTCCCATATCAGGCTCTTTGCTCAGAAGGGAATTTGCTTCTCTCTCTGCTCTCCCTCTGTCTCTTGCAAATAAATAAAAATCAAATCAAATATAAAAAAATGAGTTCTACAGGAGATATTTGTGGAAAAGGGAATTAAAAAGAAAAAACAACGTTCATCAGAGTGTCCGATCTGGTCCAGCTGTCTGGGTGCTACAGACGAAGCTGCCATCCCCAGAATGGGGGCCCCACTGGGGGCACACTGGACGCTCAGCCCCATAACAGCCGGTGCACAGGGGAGTGTCCCCGTGCCAGAGACCAGGCTGCAGGTGCCTGCCGGTGGGCAGGGCTGGAAGGAGGCAGGGCTGGGGCTGTCTGGAAGACCCACCGAGCTGCATGCTCCTGTGTGTTTCTGCCTCGATGACAAGTCTGTAAACCTGAAAGGAAATGCCATTCCTAGCAACCATGTCCGGGTGGGAGAGTCAGGACACTACTCTTTTCTCGGCTTTTTTGCTTTATGGTGAATAACCTTCCTGGGTAAACAGGAAACCGAGTCAGGCTGAACAGTAACAGCTCTGGTGACCGAGCAGGACTCACATCCCCAGACCACATCTGCCTCATCGGAGGCTTTGCTGTTTATAATACGTGCCTGATTTCCTCCTGTGGACACTCAGCTGCGGTATCTTTGCTCAACGATGTGGGCAACCGGCCAACAGTCTCCCTCCAGGAGGAGCGGGCTACGGTTCCTTACATGTTGCTACCCTCGAGAAAGGTGTGTTGACAAGGAGCCACATGAACCCTTGTATGGTCGCCAAAAGGTGGCAACACCCACGTGCCCGTGCGCAGGTGAGTGGATGAGCCAATGGGGTCCATCCACATGATGGTGTGGGAGCTGGCCACCGAAGACAATGAACTTCTGACAAGGCTAGATGTGGGTCGACCTTGGAAAGAGCATACTGAGCTGGAGAGGAGCCAACCTGGAAAGGTTACACGCTGTTGGGACTCCATTTATGTGAAATGTCCGGAACAGGCAAATCCGTAAGACAAAAGACAGACTGGTGGCTACCAGGGGCTGGGGGAGGAGAAGGAGGGCGGGGTGACGGCACATGGGGACAGGGTCTCCTCTGGGGCGACGGAAATGTTCTGGAACTAGATACAGGCACGACAATGTCACTGCACTGCTGTTCACTTGAAAAAGGTGAATTCTGTGTTACATGAATTCTACTTCAATTAAAAGAACGAGAAAAACATGGGGGCCCCGGGGCCCTCCGCACAGCACGGGCTGCGGGCAGGACCGGGGCAGGCAGGGTCTCTCCCGGAGGGGCTCGAGGCCTCCCGCCGCCCCCGCTCACCTGCCTGGCGATGCTCTGCACCAGCTTGTCCATGGTGAAGCCCACGTACGCGTGGATGGTGAACATCTCGCGCAGCGTGTCTTCGTACTGCGTGGGGTCGATGCTGCCCTCCAGCAGGCTCCGCACCATGTCCAGGAAGGCCGGGTAGTACTCCTCCAGCTCCACCTCACCTGAGGGGCGGGCACAGTCACCCAGGGCCAGAGACACGCGTGGCCCTCCCCGGGATGAATCCGAATCTCCGTGGCACGCTGCCTCCCGCAACAGATGTCCTCGTTCTCGGCCCGAGGTTCAGGCACCCGCGCCCCCACCCGGCCGGTGGAGGGGAGCCCCCGTGTGTGACCCCCGGGGGCCCGAGGCCTTACTTGGCTGCTTCAGCCGCAGCTCCATGGCGGGGTCGTTGCCCTTCTCCCGGCGGCCCTCGCAGAGCAGTTTCTCCCTCTCCTTCTCCGTCCGGTACTCGAGCAGCTGCTTCTGCGCCTGGCGGTAGATCTTCAGCAGCCTGGAGCACAGGGTCTGGTGGAGGCGCAGGAAGAAGTACCAGTTGTTGTTGGCGAAGAAGAGGCTGTACACGTCGTCCAGGGGCTTGTGCGGCGGCGGTGGTGGCGGCTGCTCGGCGGCCGGCGTCTCGCCCACGGCCCCCTTCTCCTCCGGGGGGCTGCTCTGCGGCCCCGGTGCCGGCTTCTTTCGGTCGCCAGCGTCAGCGCCCTGCCCCTGGGGGCTCCCCCGGCCCTCGTCGGCAGAGTCCTCAGACGCCCCCAGGTCCAACTGCTGGGAGAAGAAGAGGCTGGGCACGAACTGGTGCACCAGCTGGTGGATGGTGCCCTGGTCCTCCTTCTGGATGGCTGGCTGCCTCTTCACGTAGTAGCTGATGAGGGCGGCCGCGTCCTCCAGGATCTGTCTGTCCTCATACACGAAGATGAGGTGTGGCTCGCTGGAAGGGGCGCTCCGGCCCTCAGAGTGCTGCTCCTGGTGCTGGGGCAGGGGGGGGGGTGGGGGACGACACACAGGCAGCCATTAGGCACAAGTGACCAGCTGGGAGAAGTCCAAGAGATGGGGGCCCCAAGGCCACAGGGCTCTAAAAGCATCACACTCTGGTCCTGGGTACAGCCCAGTGCCTCCCACCTGATCCCATTCCTGGGCCCACTCCAACCACTATCCTCTCTGGGTCTAGAGTGATTTGACCTAAAGGAGCATGGTTACCCCTACTGCAGCCCGCTAGACCTTCCTGCACTGCTCAAGATAGGACCCAGTCCCTGGCATGTCATCCTACAGCCCCCACACCTGGCTTCTTTCAATGCTTTAGGGCTGCTGAGCTCCCTCCTGCTGCGTGCAGGACCTTTGCACGTGTCCCTCTGCTCTTTGGCCCTGGAAAACTCTGCTCAGAGACTCTGCTCAGTCTCTATCCAGCTCATGACTTTGCTTCCTGCGAACCTGTAGATGATCATACTCCCTCCAGACTACCCTGAACTGCCTGCTGAGTCAGGCCGGGTGACGCTCTCTCCTGGGTAGCACTGATCACCAGCACCAGGCACCAAGGCTACACACACCCACTTTGGAAAAAGTGAGCGTGGATGCCATCCCCGTGGGTGGGGAGCTCATAGGGGCAGGGCCAGGTCTCCATTAACCCTTCAGTGACCAGCCCAGGGCACAGCACTGTGGGGACTCCTCCAATAGCCAAGAAAAGGAGTGACCGACAGAAAACAGGTGCAAGGCCAGGGCCTCAGCTTTCTGGGGTGGGCGACTCTCTTTCTACCAGAGATCGTGCTCCCTCAGCGACGCTGAATTCTGCTGCAGCCCGAGACCTCCTTCCCCTGCAGGCGGGGAATCCTGAGAGCTGGCATGTCCGGCTCCTGGCTCTGGTGTGACCTCCTCTTTCCTACTGCTTTCTGAGTTCCGATCTCATTTGTGCCACAAATGCCCTCAAAAACTTTTTTAAGTCCTTTCCTCAGAGCAAGTTCTGGGGCACGGAATCCAGAGCTGTGCACTGCTAACAGCCAACGGCGAGGGGCTGACTTCCCTATGCGCAAAGGACTTGCACGTGCAGGGCTCACCAGGCTGATGGGCTAACCTCTGGCCCCAAACAGTGCTGTACCCCTTTCATCTTGGCTCCCACAAAAAGGAACTCAGTGGTGACCATGGAGCGTCTCATGGGTCACGTCACCGACTCTCATTCTGATCATATCCCACGGACCCTATCTGGGGGAGTGGCGGTGGCGCTCTCAGGGCTGGACCACCGACTCGAGGATTCAAGTGAAAAAACCAATTAGTGGCAGGTGGGCCCTGCAGGGCTGAGGGTGGCCGGCAGCAGGGAGGCAGGAGGGAAGGGGCTTCCTATCACAGGCTCTCGCAAGTAGCTCACTCCCTGCACACATTTTTCGAAGCCTAAATCCCCGCAGCCTGGCCCCAGCCCTGCCTCAGTTCTGTGGTTCAGGCCCCAAGAGCCTGACTGTGCCAAAGCTGGCAAGAAGATGCAGGGCGTGGCTAGAGGCAGAGCCCTAGGGCCTGGAGCCCTGGTCTCCTGTGACTGGCCTTGGCAAGTGGCCACCTCCTGGACCTGTTTCATTGCTGCTAAACCCAGGACGCTGGTACTGCATAACAAGGTCTTGTGAGTATGGGTCAGACGGAACGTTCCTTCTCAGGGTCTACCTGTGCCGGGCTCACAGCTGGCAGCAAAGAAATGAAAGCTGAAGTCCCTGGAAGGACGGTCCATCAAGACCCCGGGGGTAAGCAGGGAGGGGAGAGCCCCCCACCAGCCACGGGGGGACCGCTACAATCCTCCCCCTGGACCCGCTCAAGGTGGAGTGCCACAGAAACATCCCCGCGACCCCTATGTAGCCTGCAAGAGGGATGCTGGGGAAACAGAGGCACAGGCACAGGCAGCCTGCCTGACACTGGGAGAGCCAGAGGCAGAGCCAGGATCCTTAGTCCGCTCGGTCCTGGGTGGAGAGCCTCACCTCGTCGTAGACGCTCTCGATCTCGTTGAGTAAGCTCTTGGAGCGAAGGGCCTTGGTGTCATTCTGTTTGAAGTTTACGGCCTGATGGTCGAGGGACTTGAGATAGGCCTTCTCATACTGCTCCCGCCAAATCTTGTTGAAGCCCTGCTGGGCCTCCCGCCACTCCTCCTCCTTAGCCTTCAGCCTGCAGGGTCAGAGGGGCTCAGCATGGGAAAAACCCCAGGCCCCCACCCATCATCCCTGCACGGGTAGCCTGTCATCCACCCACAGGCCCTGCCAAGTGCGTTCCAAACTCGGGACAGCCAGTGCCCAGCCTGGCCCATGGGTTCTGTGCTGAAGAAAAGAGGGAGGGAGGGAGCAGTGGCTCTGTAGAACCAATGTGGCTGGTTTTAGTTTCTCAAGTATCGTTGCCCTCCTCCCTGGCCTGGCCCACTCTGGGTAGGTGCTGGATCCATCACTAGGCTTAATCGCTTGACTGCAAGCCCCACAAAAAGGGACTATGTCAGCCTGACTCAGCTCTGCAACCCCAGGGCTGAGGACAGCGCATGGTGTCAAAGGCAGCCACTTAATAATTAATACCTGCTCACTAGCACAAAAGGTTCCCACAATGTGTCACTAAGTAAAAGGCAAGCTAGGACAATCCTATTTGTGCTTTAAAATAGTTACTTTTCATGTTCAGATAGGATTATGTGCATGGTGGAAAGTTCTAGAAGGACACAGACAGTTGCTCAGTTGTGCTTTTCTTTTGGGAGTAGAATGGGGCAATGACGAAAGACTGGAAACCACACTAAGCCAGCCTGAGGTCCCAGGGACCCCCTCCTAATCACACTGTGACAAAGAGCACTAATGAGCTCCACGGGGCTTGCCCATGGCAGGTGGGGCAGCAGGAGTCTGGAGGACACCTTTTCAAGACGACAGGGACGGCAGTGACTGGGTTCTTCTTGAGGCTCTCGATGATCTCTGGTGCCTTGTCACCGTAAATGCGGTGGATGGCGCGGCGCTGGATCACCTCCGACGTGCCCCCCAAACAGTCGTCCAGCCGGAACTTCTCCTGGTCTTCAGGCGCCATCCGCGAGAGCTTCTTCTGCACACTTTCCAACACGCGGATCGTGGCCAGGTTGGTCTCCAGGACGACATCTAACTATGGAAAGGAAGGCAGGGGCCAGCTGTCGGGGGGCAGTGGTGCCCTGGGGACCAGCCTGAGTTGGCAGAAGAGATGTGTGGACAGAACTGATTAACTTCTGTGTCCCTGAGGGGATGATGGTAGATGCCAGGCCGTGGCGGCCCTGATGCGGTGGCTCCAGGGGCCCCAAGCGAGCACGGCTGGTTACAGGGCTGGGCCCACAGAACAAGGACTTGTGGGCTCCTTACCACTGCACAGACATCCAGCGGCCAGAACACAGATGGACCCATCTGGGGAGGGTGACAGTCCCTAGGCTGACCCACTTTGTAGGTATTGATGGCATTTATAAAAAGGGAGGACTCGCGGTATTCGCAGCCCTGAGGACAACTCTACAGGGCTGATGGGGAGCTGGTCCCCAAAGGTAACACACTGGAATTCCACTTATGACAAAGTGACAGAGATGGAGGACAGGTGGTTGCCAGGGGTCAGCAGGGAGGCAGGGAGGGCCATCAAGGGCGGCAGGAGGGATCCCAAGGGTCGGGGGAGCAGTGCGGTATCTTGGTGGTGGAGACCACCACACACACGCGGGCACATGCGCACACACGCAAATATAAGTTCAACTGTGCAGATAAGAATAAGATCTCAGGGTGTGTCACTGTGCCCGTGATTTTACAAGCTGTGACCACTGGGAAGAAGGCTCCCCGGGATCACTTGCTGCTTGTAAATATACAAGGACCTCAATAAGCATTCCGATGGAAAAATAAATATGTCTATTTAAAACGGAAACAAATAGTACCACTGCCTAGACAGCCTGAAGTCTGGCAAGTCAGAAAAGGGACACTTTTGGTCACTGAAAAAATATTAAATAAAAAAAAAATGTTTGGTAGAATTTGCCTACCCCCCCAAAAAAAAGAAAAAAAAAGGGACACTTTTGGGTGCTGCCCCCTGCTGGAAAGTGCTGGAATCCCAGATACTCAAAAAGAGTCTGGGGAGGGCGGGTGGGGGGGTGGGGAGGAGGATGGGGGTACATCCAGGGGTGGAGAGAGAGTAAAGTGGAGAAGAGGGGACAGGTTCGGACCCCACGCCTCCCTCATCCCAGCAACACCAGCACACACACCTCAAAACGCTCGTCCTCACAGCGGTGCAGCTGCTCTTCGTAGGGCGTCTTCTTGGAGCTGACGAAAGTGGAGTCCTCTGACCACGAGGGGAAGGAGACCCAGGTGTCATTCAGAACCTGCACCAAGAGGAAATGCTATGACCAGAGCAGTAGGCTTCAGTGGCCAGAACCATTTACTATGCCGTCCAGAATAAAAGATATGGAGACAAGTCATATAATCCAGATTTTACGGGAAATTAGCTTCTCAAACCAAGAGCAACCTGTTTTAAAGTGGTTTAAGGAGAAAACAGGACTTAGGTCAGGTAAACAAATTGTACTATTTCCCGGGTTGGCCAACTTTCTCCGTAAAGGGCTAGATAATAAGTATTTCAGGTTTTGTGGGCCAACTCCCTGTTGACAGACTATTCAACTCTGCCTTTGTCCTGGCAAAGCAACCACAGGCACTATGCAAATGAATGAGCATAGGTATGTGCCAATAAAACTTTATTTACAAACACAGGCATAGGGCTGGATTTTAGTTTGCTGACCCCTGGACTATGTATCCTGAAATCCAGCAAGAACTCTCAAATTCTGGAAACAGAGTAGCAGCCTGTCTATTAACCCTGAAAAGGTATTCAAATGGTCAAGCTAAACGGAGACATATCAAGGGCACCAGATCGGGGACAGAGCAGGCTCCTAGCAGAAGTACATGTACACCTAGAGGGAGAGTATGCCAAAGCCAAGGCTCTGTGGTTTGCCAAAGCTACCAGCAGGGTAAGAAACCATCGTCTCGGCTCAGGCGTTTTGTCTGCTACCACATCCCAGCACCTACTACTCAGGATTTGGGGGGTGGGGTGGAGTCGAGGCTCAGTTCTATCATGTAAAACATGGGCGTGATGGGGTTTTTGCAGCGTGGGGGGTGATGCACCACGTAAGCTGACAGGAGCCGCCGGGGAGCACTACCTCCTTGCAGATGGCCGTCCGCCCACTGCACTTGGGCTGCTGGTAGGTTTTGGGGAGCGCTCGGTAGCTGGATCCAATGCGCTTGCAAGATGCGTAGTCAATTTCCCGGCTTATTCCATCCCCGGATCTGTCGCTCATGGGTGGGGCGAATGACAGCTCTTTCACCCCCAGGAAGGACTTGAACTGTGCAAAGAGTTCTGGAAATTTCCTTCAGAAACAAAGACAAACAGTAAGTTGGCTTCCCTGGGGCTTTCTGGGAGGGACCTAGCGATCTGAGAACGGCTTCCTGCAGACACCTGCCAACGATGGTCAGAGAGGAGGGGCGAGGGGGAACCAAGCATCAGGTGTGTGTCATATACTCAAATGTGTGAGTAAATTTGCTTCCCACCCCTCTGTCACCTGCCACGTGCTAACACTAATGGGCGAGCCTTGAAACGTGCTGGAATAGACAACTCAGACTGGCAGAAGCTGGGATTAGTGAGGTTTTTTCACTGAAAAAGGCCAGGCACCAGGCTGGGGGTCGGTAAGCTACTACCAAGCTGCCCGTGCCTGTCCTTGCAGATAAAGTTTTATTGGTACACCACTGTGTCCATTTGCTTAGTATTGCCTGTGGCTGCTTTTGCACAACAAGGCCAGGGTTCAGTAGTACTGCCCCTTGGCCCTTGACAGATAAAGTCCACCGACTCTTGTTCCAGAGTCTTCCTCCCTGAGGGAGATCCCTCCCAGGAAAACCCCCTGCAGATGCGATCTCACAAGCCACAATGTAATGGCCATGCAATGGGAAGGTCTTCATACAACTGTTCCCCAATGTCACCTGGATTTGTGATTAAAGAAGTATCAAATTCTACTGAGGGGCACCTGGCTGGCTCCATCGGTGGAGCGTGTGGCCCTTGATTGGGGGTTGTGAGTTCGAGCCCCACACTGGGTATAGAGATTACTTAAAACAATCTCAAAAAAATAAAAAAATCCCACTGCAAGGATGCATTACTTTGACAGGGGGCATGGCGATCCAGCCACCCGCAGCTCCCCTCCTTCATGAACTATAAGGCCCCCTCCTGAGATGGCTGTCCACTGTGCCCTGGCTGTACGGACCCCATGCCAATTTCACTCATGAGGAAAACCCACGAGCAAACAGAAACGCAGGGTGGAAAGACATCAACAAACCCATGCAGACAACACCTGACATTGCAGCTGTGATAAACGCCAACCGTGAACGCTCCAAGGGGGAACGGTCCCTCTGACACAGCCCACTCCAGTCCTGACCCCGGCTGTGCCATCGGCAGGTGGCCGATCTCTAGACCCCCTTCCCTGGCTGCCCCTGGGCGTGCAGACCCAGATGGAGGCTCACACTGCGAGAACAGGCCTTGTCAGGGTGATTGCTAGCCCAGCCAGGTGTCACAGAAAGGCAGTGAGAAGAGGCCCGCTGTAGTTCTTCGCCGCACACCCCGGGGCCCTCCCTCAACACTGCTTTCAGCATGTGGAAATGGGAATCGCAGACCCCAACCCAACAATGCGCCCCTGCTCAGCACCTGAAATTTTGAGCTCCTTCATTCTTCTCCCTTAATCATCACCCCTGCCCCCGCCAACTGCAGGAGATAGGTCTGGCCATTCTGCAAACAAAGAAACTCTGATGTGCTAGTAGGAAGCAGGGTCCCAATCCAGACTTGGGGCTGGTGATGCACCCAACTGGGCACGCCCGCCCTGCAAAGGCGTCCCCAGGCCCCTCGCCCGCCACAGCATGTCCTCTTTTCCAGCAACAGCGCCCACTCCTCGGCCAGGACCCACACCCAGGGTTCTGATTCTGAGCTCACACACATACTGCTGTGGGAACGAGCACATAATCCAAGTCCACACAAAAAGCCAGCCACGGTTCAGCCGAGGGTGAGTAACACCGCTGTGCTGCTGGGGCCGTTTTTCAGAGTGTCAGGAGATCCTCACTAGCCTGGGAGAGTGAACCCAAGGGAAAGGGACACCCTGACGTGTATACCCTCTCCAGATCTCAGGAAGCACTGCCTGATGACCCTAACTTGACCTCTTAGTATCCCAACCTATGGAGCATGACCGTAGCACTGACTGTAGAAACTGGGGACAAATGTCCTTCATTACAGACCCTGCTGAGAAAACCTCGATTTGTACAAGCAAGGGAATAGCACGCAGTCGCTACAAATCACGTAGGCTCACGGCTGACACCAAAAGACATTCGAGAAAGACATCCAAGTAATACCGAATTAAAAAAGAAAGGAAAAAAAAAAAAAAAAAGGCTGCTGCAGCCCAGCCTGACAGCATCTCGTCCTGAGCTCGGAGGATGGGCAGAGCGCCGGCTTCTGGGCTGGGCCACCCTAGATTCACCCATCACCACGGCAAAGCTCTTTCTGAAGAGCGGTCTCTCAGGAAAGTGAGAAGTATTCTTAGCCTCCTCATCCTTAAAATATACTAAAAAACCGGGGCGCCTGGGTGGTGCAGTTGGTCAGGCATTCAACTCAACTCTTGGTTTTGGCTCGGGTTGTGATCTCGGGGTCCTGGGATCAAGCCCCAAGTCGGGCTCTGCACTCAGCAGGGAGTCTGCTTGAGTCTCTCTCTCTCTCTGCCCCTCCCACTCGTGCTCTAATAAATAAAAAAAAAACCAAAAAACAAATCTTAAAAAAAATTAAAAAACATATCAAAACACATCAAATGTGTCCATGAGCCCACATGATGCTTTAAGAGAAAAAAGAATCGATCCTAATAGGATAGGAGTGTGACTCATCAGCCAGCCATTATAATAAAGGGAGAAATCAAACATCTACTCTGGGCCGCCAGAAGGTGAAAAATGCTGTTGAGGTTCTCTCTTTTGCAACCCGCAGAGAACATATAAATACATGAACGAACCACAAAAAGAATGTGGACACCACCGCCCCCTGACAGAGGGACATGGAGGACAGGACTGCAGGGGTGGGGACTGCCAGCACAGAAACAGCAGGCAATAAAGTGGGAGGGAGAGACTCACAGACACGTTCTAAAACCAAACCAAACCCAGACAAGGCGGCCAGAGCGAGCACTGTGCTGGACAGCACCTGAGCCATCCTCAGTGGGGAGAGGTGCTCACTTCCAAGGGATCCTTTTGATGGGGGAGGGAGCGTGATGTGACGGCGCAGGAAGGGGTTCCCGGGGGGTGGCGAAGGTCCAGGTGGGACTTGGGTGGTGGGCACAAGGGGCTCTGCCTAAAAATGATTGAAGTCATCCATCATTCAGATTCCTGGACCTGTGCTTTATTTTATATTTAAAAAGAAAACTTAAAAAACTTTTCTTAATTAACAGTAAGGGGCTCAGGAAGCACCTGTCCCTGGGGATGACTTTAGGGCTGAATAAAGCTCCTACACGGTCATTACATACCGTGCACGCACCACGTGCCAGACGCTGTTTTAAAGGTCTTACGTGCAGGGCCCACTTGCAGCGCTCTGAAGCTGTGTGTGGTAGCTCTAGAAATCCCCATTTCACTAAGACTGTCTAAGAAACTCGTCCAACATGTGAGAGCTGAGGAGCAGGAGGCGGTGCTGGGGCCTCTCCCTTCTTAGAGCGCACGGTGCCCGTGCATCCGCCTCCTGGAAAACCTCTGCGCCCCCAGCAGCCGCCCCAGCCCCCGGGGTCTGTCCGCCTGCTCACACCCCACGGCACAGGCTGACGGCAGCAGGCCGCTGACTGGGTGACCACGGCTTCTCTCTGGCCCGCAGGGGTGCCGAGTGGCCACTTCCTTCTTCCTGGCAGTTTCTGATTGGCAGAATTTTTAAAAGCACGTATCAAGGGGAATCTCTAGAGGATTATGCTGGGTGAAGAAAACCCAGTCTGCAACGGTTACGTACGGTGTGATTCCTCCCCCGGAACACTTCCGTTGTGTAAGTTTCGGAGCTAGAGCGCAGATCAGGGGTTTGCCAGGGGTGTGGGACCCAGATCCGGGTGGCGCTCGGGACGGACGTGGTTGTGGCTATTACCGGTCAACACAAGCATCCCTGTGCCGCTGAAGCCGTATCTTGACCATGGGGGTGGACGCAGGAACTTTGCAGGGGACGGAGCTGCGCGCAAGGGGAAAACCTGACAAGATGGGCGGACTCTGCAAGCGTCAGCACCGGCTGCCACAGCGGCAGAACAGGGCCCAGGACCTGTCTGTGTTCTTTCTCTACTGGGGCTCCATCTAGAATGACCTCTACCACCACGGCAATTGACAAACGGGAATCAAAGAAAGCATCGACCATTTTCCACAAGCCACAAGCAACAGAAGGGTAGACCGAGCTTACGGACACACACCTGCGTGGAAGCCCCGGGAAGGGTCACTCACCCCAGAAACGGGCTGACGAGCTGGAGGAGCTCGGAGCCAGACACGAGCTCCTGATTGAAGAGCGCGATGCAGCGCAGGAAGTTCTCGTAGACCTCCTGGCTCTTCAGCACCCTGCGAACCTGCGGGGAGAGCAGATGAGGGGCCCTCGAGGGCCAGCCCCACCCACACTCCCCACTCCCTGGCCTGGCTTGGCTCAGGCCCCATTAAGTGAACACGGAGTCACAGAGGCACGTGCTCTCAAGTGACGGGCTGCAGTCAGCAGGGCAATGGTGTCCGGACAACTAACTCACAGCCTGGAGGGACTGTGCGTGAGACCAGCTCGTGAGACCTGCCATTGACCCCGGGCGGGAGCCCCACAACCACCCGGCCTTTAGAAAAGCCGCACAGCTTCAGGGAGACCAATGTGTGCCTTCAGATCTGCGTGGGCCCCAAGCTCTGCTGCCTCCTGCCGGCACCGCCTCCCACCATGCAAGCTGGTGCCAGCCCCTTGTCCCCAGCCTGCCCCAGCTGCTGCCCAGCCTACCAGGTCCCTCCCCATGGGCTCCCATCCTGCACACCCGAGCTGTTGAGGCCAGCCTCGACGGCTCACCTTGTCGAAGAAGGAGAACTCCTGCAAGGTGCCGTACTTCCCCACGGCAGCAATGGACAGGTCTTTGGTACCTCGGAGTTTCATTTTCTTCTGTGGACAGAAACTTTGTGCCGTGAAGGCCCCGGGCATCTTTGTCAAGAGTTACAGCGTCACTGACGCTGAGCTCTCCTGACAGCAACCATCATGAGGGACTGGCTGGGGTCTGCCCGGGACCACTGTGGAGGAAATCTCGGGACCACCCCCTTAGGCTCCATGACACCCACTACCTGGGCTCTAAATTTCGGCAGTTTAGGGCTCTGGTGTTAGGCAGGAGTCTCACAAAGTTGGGAGGGGAAGGCAGCGGTATCCCTTGAAGCAGGATCAGAAACCTCTCCCCCTGCCTGTTTTGTCCGGTGGGCTGTGACGGTGGTGGCAAGGGCAAGAACAGGACGAGAACAAGATGAGCCCAGAGAAACCTTGGTTTTAAATCTCTGTGAAGAGTTTTGTCTCTAAGTTGGACTCAGACCAGAACCTGGCTGCTTGCTTGAGGCACCGAAGACCCTACAAAACCATCTCCCAATGCAGGGCATATGTCTAGAGGACGCAGAAGCCAGCTCAAAGGGGTTCCACTGGCCAAATCTGAGCCAGTTTAGATGCCAAGATGAACAACAAGTCATGGATTACAACCCAGAGTAGGTCACCCAATAAAAGGAGACGAAGAAAAAGCTCTTCCTCAGAGTAGAAAGCCAACTAATAAATGCAAAAAAATCTTAAAAAAAAAAAAAAAAAAGAAAAAAGAAAAACCACCGTCATGGGTGATGCATGCAACAGGAGATGGACCTCAGCCCCTTTCACCCCTCAACAGGTCTCCTTGTGCAGTGACCAACCTACACAACTGCACATGGCCGCCTGCCCATGAAAGAATCATCATGGCGAAAAGAAGCAGACTTAGCAGTACATCCTATTTCCAAAGGAAAACATGTTGCTCCTCGTAACAATCCTGTGAGCCACGTGTAATGAGTTAACAGCCACCTTAGAGGTGAGCTGACCTCCTAAAGTCCCAGGGCCGGTGCATTTCAATGAGACCAGGGTCCAGACTCAGCCCATGCCTTGGACCTGCTGCTTAGAGCTCCTGCACACTGCTCCCTAGGTCATCTACAGAGAGGGGAGGCTGCTGGGGGTGCACAGAGGGGGACATCTATGCGCACAGCTGACGGTTACCTTGGCTGGTGCAGACACCGGACGGAGGAGTGAGGGCCGAGAGCGCTTTTTGCTGTGTTCCAGGTTCTTCTCATGCTCACTCTTATGGACACTGTTCATTTCGCATGGCCCATTTCCTGTGAACTAAGAACACAAACATGGGAGGTGATTAGTGCTGGAGAGCTACTGGGCCCCTCAGTACTGGCTCTTGGTGCGTATGGGTGTGTGAAACCACCTTGGGCTCAGCCCACGGCCCCAGTGAATGCTGCCTGCCACAGGCTGGGACCCTGTCTGCATGTGAGGCGACTCTGGCTCTTGAGATGTCCATGTTGATTAAGGGAGAGACCCGGATACCCAGATTATCAGTTTCCCTGTCACTTCTGACAGTTCTTACTTTTTATGATTCCATGTCCCCATTTGTAAACGTGTGAGCTAGATGGACCCTCAAAGACCCTTTGGGCAGGGGCTGACATATTCACCATGCCGGGTGAATAAAGTTTTATCGTAAATAAAGTTTTATTGGCACACAGCCATGCCCACAAGCCAAAGGGGCTTTCCCACATAACCGTGCAGCCAGGTCTTTGTAACAGAGATCCAACGGCCTGCAAAGCCTAAGACACTTACCATCAGGCCCTCTACAAAACAAAAAAGTTTGTCAACTCCGACTTAGGCCAAGGGGTCATGTTTAATTAGGACAGTATCAAATTTCATCTTTGGTTTCTTTTTCCTACTTTTTTTTTTTTTTTTTTAAGATTTTATTTATTTGCCAGAGAGAGAAAAGGCGAGCACAAGCAGGGGGAGCTGCAGGCAGAGGAGAAGCAGGGTCTCTGCTGAGCAGGGAGCCCGACGTAGGGCTTGATCCCAGGACCCCAGGATCATGACCTGAGCCAAAGGCAGATGCGTAACCAACTGAGCCCCCCGATGTCCCTTTTTCCTGCTGTTTTAATAGAACTTCAAATTTTAATATATAGGTCAGTGAAGATAAAGCTCAAATTATACAAGATTCTATGTGGGTGTTTTTAATAATTTTTAAAAAATCGATTCAATCGCTTAAAACGGCCACGACGCTCCAGTCAACGCACTCTGCTGAACTGGTAACAGGCGCTACTGTGAGAAACTGAGCTGTGGGAGCTTTCCGGAGGGAGACGCCTGTTCTTCCACGGCCGGTTCTGTCGGGGTCCAGCCTCGCAAGTGCTGGGTGTCCAGCAGGGGGCGCAGCCACCACAGAAATCAGAGGATAGGCAACCCCCACTGCCCCCCTGCGGCACCCTGGCCACCACTGATAGGAATAACTCCAGAGGGAATTAAGTAAGGCTGCCCTCGCAGCAGGCCCCGCAGAGCTCCTCAGCCTGAGTGTCTGCTGTGCACGGCCCCCCACAGCTGTGGCGGAAGGTGCTCCGCTCTCCGCCCGCCTCACCCAGACCAACCACTGCTGAGGAACCTTCCAGCAGGCTTAAGGGGAGACAGCGTCATGGCCGCTTCCAAGAGGAGGAACTGAGGCTCGGGGAGGGGACCTGCTAGGGCCCCTCAACCATGCACCCTTGCTCCAATGGCTGCCCACCCCACCTCCTGTCCAGGCAGGGCTGCGCTCTCCAGCCTCCTTGGGGTGTGGAGAAAGGACACGCTGCTGGGCCCCGATCTCTGCCAGAGAGGGGAAAGCTGGCCTGGAACTTGGCCGGGCCTTTCCTTCCCGGGGGGCTGCACATCTCCCATGCTGCCCCCAGCGAGGACTGGGCTCAGGAAAAGAGCCGCCACCAGAGGCTGCAGCTGGGTTGGTTGTAAGAGGTGGATCCAAGGGGACGACAGTCAGACAAGCCCCTAACACGCCATGTGACGGGGCCAAGTCAGGGCCAGGAGGCATGAGGCGCCGTGCAGGTCCAGCTCCTGGGGGACGTGGAGGCCTGAAGGCCCGCAACCCACACAAGGGTGTGTTGCAGGCAGGAGGCAGTGAGAGTCCTCCGCTCCTCGTCTTTGTGCCCCTGGAGCCTGCGAGGAGGCTCTCTGGCAAGCAGAAAAAGAAATGGGAGTGATGCCAGGACGGCACAGGACATTGTTTGGGAAAAGGGGGCCAAGCCCAAGGAGGGACACTGTGCTTCGGGGCTGGGTTGGGGGGGAGGGGGGCTGAGAGTGGACGTGAGGGTGGGGACACGAGGAGTTAGGCTCAGCTGGAAGTGTAGCCACCTCTGGTGGAGGTGAGCTCCCTGCCACCCTGGGGAGGGGGTTGGGAAATCCACACCAGGGCTTTGCTCAGCCTTCCCCATGTACTCCCCAGGGGACTCCCGCAGGCTGGCTGGTCCTGGGGAAGCAGAGGGAGGCCCTGCCGCTTGGGTGGACACTCGGGGAGGGCAAGTGGGGGAGGGACGGACAACACTGGCACTGGGAAGGGATGGGGACAATCCATCTGGATCCTCCGCCTGCTTTTCCTGAACATTCCCAGCTGTTCTTTCTGGAGCACTGCACATGTGCTGGGCTGCACACAAAAGCGCTTAGAGGATGATGGCTTGACGAGTCGAAGCAGGAAGGCCTTCATCCCCATGTGAAAGAGAAGGAAACCAGGCCTGGGACGTGAGTGAGGGTGTTGGCTCAAGCCCTCCTGAGCGCCTGCGGACACGGAGTGAGCGTCTTAGCCTGGGCTGTGTGCTCCTGGGGGCCCTGCCTAGCCCTCCAGCCCCTGAAGACATACAAAACTCCAGGCAGGGTGAAGGGACAGGCGACAGCTCCAGGACGAGACGTCAACCCTATGGAGAGGCACAGAGCTTCTCTGACTTTGAGTCAGGAAGTATTTCCGGGTGGCATCCTGACTTTGAGGTGGCATTCATGGGCGCTGGAAGACCAAGTGATTCTTGATGATCCAAACCCAGACCCCTGTACGCACCCACCAAGCCTCTCCTGCTGCTCCCCAGCCCTGCCCCCCCACCGCATCTTCCTTTAAAAGCAGAACCAGGAGAGGTGGTAGTGATGCACTTGGGCTGGGGTTAGTGGGGGAGGACCGCTCACGTGCGCAGGACCCAAGCCACCATCCAAAGCAGAGAAGAACAAAAAGAGGAAAAGGAGTAGCCAATAAACTCGAATAGAAGCGTGTTTCTTCCATCTGACAAAGGGGTGTTTACGAAAAGCCCACAGCTCCCAGAACACTCAGGTGGAAGATGGAAAGCTTTTCCCCTAAGATCAGGAACAAGACAAGAATGCCTCCTCTCACCACTTCTATTCAGCTCAGTAATAAAGGCTCCACTGCAGCGATTAGGCCAAGACAAGGAACGAAAAGGCATTCACAATGGAAAAGAAAGAAAACCATCTCTATTAGCAGATGGCATGGTAACACGCATATAAAAAAATCCTCGTGAATATACAAAGGCTATTAAAGCTGATAAACAGACTCAGCAAAGTCGCAGGAAGCAAAACACACAAAAATCAGTAGTATTTGTATACACTCATGATGCACAATCCAATAATGAAATTAAGAAAAAAAAAGAATAAGATATTTGGGATAAATTTAACCTAAGAGGTGCGAGACAAGTACATCAAAAACCACGAAATGTTGCTGAAAGAAATTAAAGATTTAAATAAATGCAAAGAAACCTCATGTTCACGGATCAGAAGACTTAACATTATCAAGATGGCAATATTCCCCAAAGCAATCTAAAGATTCAAGGCAATCCCTATCAAAATCCCAATGGCTTTTTTCCCTTTTTTTTTTGCAGAAATGGTAAAGCTGATCTTCAAGTTTATATGGAATTCCAAGGGGCCCGGACTAGCTAACATAATCTTGAAAAAGAGCACAACTCAAATCGCTTCTTCATTCTGAACTTAGAACAAAATTACAGTAATCCAGACAGTGTGGTGCTGCCCTCAGAAGAGACATGCGGGGGGTGGTCGACGGGTTGGAACTGAACACTCCAGAAATAAATCCATACAACGGTGCTCAACTGGTTTTCAACAACAGTACGAGGACCATTCAACAGGAACAGAAAAGTTGCTTCAATAAACCGTGCTGGGAAGACTGGCTCTCCCCTCAGGAAAGAATGGAGTTGGATCCCTACCTCACACCACACACACACAAAAATTAAATCAAAATGCACCAATGACCTAACTATGAAAGCTAAAATTACAGAAACTTTTAGAGAAAAACACAGGAGGAAACCTTCCTGTTTCAGATCTGGCAGAGATTCTGAGACACTAAAAGCATGAGCAACAAAAGAAAAAACAGGTAACTGGATTTGATCAGAACCAAAAGCCTGTGTACATTAAAGGACACTGGAAGTGAAAAGACAACCTACAAAAAGGAGAAAAATTTTTAATAAGATGGGCAAAGGACAGACATTTCTCCAAAGAAGATACACAAAAGGCCAAAAGGCCTACAAGATGCTCAGTACCCTTAGTCGTCAGGGAAACGGAAATCCAAACCACAATGAGATACAACTTCGCAACGACACGGCCATAACTGAAAAACAGACCCAAACACCCCGTGTCGGCGACACTGCGGAGCACCCTGCTGGTGAGAACAGAAGATGGCGCAGCTGCGGTGAAACAGTCCGGCACTTCCTCAACAAGTGAAACAGTCACCGGTTGACTCGGCAATTCCGCTCCTAGGAACAGACTCCAAAGACCTGAAAACACGGACTCCAGCACACCCTCCCGCACGAACATTCACAGCAGCCTCACCCACAACCACCAAGAAGAAACCACCCAAATGTCCGCGAACGGATGGCGGGATATGCAAATTGTGGTCCATCTGCACAACGGAGAAGGACTCGGCCGTGAAAAGGAGCGTGATACCGACGCACGCTGTGCCGCGGGTGAACCCTCCAGCAGCCCGCTGAGCGAAGGCCAGATGCTAAGGCCACATGGTGTAGGATCCCCCGTGTCTGACCTGTGCAGAACAGGTGCAGACTCATGGCTGCCAGGGGCTAGGGGAGGAGGAATGGGGAGTGACTGCTCCCAGGGACAGGGTCTCCTTTGCGGTGATGAAAATGGTCTGGAACTAGACAGAAGTGCTGGCTGCACAACACTGTAAATGCACCAAATGCCGCTGAACTGTATCCTTTCATGGCATGTTTCATGTTATGTGAATTTTGCTTCAATTTCTAAGAAAGCCTTATGGAGAAAATACAATGGAAAGGATATGGAAAGCACAACCCAGCAGGCCTCAGGTCATGATGGTGGGGGGGCACGAGGCTGATGATGCAGCCTGCACCCTCGACCCCCCTACCCCAGACCCCTCCTCACCCTCTCTGCCCTCCGCCCCCAACCCTGCGGTCACTGGCAAGCCTCACACTGCCCGACAGGCACATTCCCACAGGGCACTGGTTACAGACAGGTCTCCTCCCAGCTGGCCCTCACCCCCCCAGACACCATCTGAAAGAGGAGGCCCCCCGCAGGATCTGCTCCAACAGGACGTGGAGGTGAGCCTGCACGGGTGCACGGGGGCCTAGGGGTGTCTGCGTGCTGTGTGGCTTCTGGGGGAAGCTAGCATGTCCCGGGCACAAATAAGCCCAGCCTGGTCTTCGGGGCCGCACTGAGAAACAGGGTCCCAGCTGAGAGGAAGGTGGCCCTCAGGCCAGGATGGGCCCTCTGTACTTACCAGGGACCGCTTGGCTTCAGGCAGGAACTGTCCAAACTCGGACAGCAGGTCCTCCTGGCCCCGGAAGAGGTTGGCTACCTCGGTAAACACTTCCTCTTCGGACATGCCTCGGAAAGGCCGCCCCTTCGTGCTCAGCTGCTCCTTCTGCCAATTCAGGAAAGGGAAAATGAGTAGTTAGCCAAGGATGGAGGCACCCCAGGCTGTTGACATTCAGGCATCCCACTGTGGAGGAGACCGAGGGATGACTCACAAAACAAAGAAGGGGCTGGCAGAGCCCATGCCTGCTATCACTAGGAGAAAGGAACCCAGTCCACCATCCTGCTAACAGCTTGGGGTGCCCTGCATGCTTCTGTCCTCATCCCACCCCACAACACAGCCTGAGCCCTGGCCAGGGATGGGGCTTACAAGGGAGTATAGAGGGGATGATGGCAGGGGCATAGTCATGGAATGGTCTGGCCTCAGTCCTTGCATGTCCTCAAACAGAGGCTGGGGAAGTACGAGGTCAGTACAAGGGCAAAGAAGGCCCTTTTTTGCGGACAGGGTGCAGGGAGTGTGGAGCTGGTGGTGGGCCTTGAAAGAAACAGGGTGACGGGGGAAGGAAAGGGAGTACTGGGAAAAGGGACCTGTCCACCCAGAGTCTGAAAGACCCCGAAAGTTGAAGGAAGATGGCCTAATCCAGAGCTTAAAGCACCAAGATGAGGACCAAAGGGGACCCGGGTCAGGAGGGCAGGAACTCAGGATGGAAGTCCCTGTCAACTTTAGAAGTCAGTCCCTGTCAGCTTCACACCCAAGAATGTGACAGAGCACGAGGTGGTGGAGCTGGGGCTCGAGCACACAGCTCAGGCTTCCCACTCCATGGCTGTAAAGGGAATGAGACGACCCATCAAGGGCCCTTAATATTGCCCTCCCCTTCCTCAGGTCCCCTGAAGCTGGCTGTCTACTCTGACCCCCAGGACTTTGCACAGGATGTTCCCAGCACTGAGAAAGTCTACCCTTTGTCTATACTCATCTGCCTGATGGCTCTGCCTGATTTCTTGGGACTTAAGCCAAAGCTGCCCTTCCTGACACCCTGCAGTCCCCAGTCAGGGCTGGCAATCTGGACAGACTTCTACACGCTTCCCCATCCATCTCTAATTCTCTTCCACCTCCAGAAAGAACGAAGCAGCAACCATTCATCTCTGCTGTCCCACTGCCTGGCAAGGAGCCCACTTGTAATCCACTTGTAATCAGCATCAACAGAGGGCTGCTGTGTTGTCAAAACACCGGCGAAGCCATCTTACAAAGAGAAGACCATCTTCTCAGGTTCTTTTTTAATCCCTGCACCCTGCGTTTCCTAGTACTTCCTGGGACGTAGGGGTGCCTCACGGAACAAATTAAAATCCTGACAAAACCGAACTCCAACAGGTATCTGGATGCCCGTGTTCACAGCAGCATTATTCCCAAGAGCCAAAATCACGGGAGCAACCCTGGTGCCCACCCGTGGAGGAAGAGATAAACACACGTGGTACATCCATGCCACAGAATGTTCTCCAGCCTTAAAAAGGACGGACGTTCTGGCCCAGGATACAGCATGGATGAACCCTGAGGACAACACAGTGAATGAAAGAATCCAGACACAAAGAGACAAGTACTGTATGATCCAACTTATAGGAGGTCCCTCGAGTTGTCAAATTCAGAGAGACGGGAAGTGGGATGGTGGGTGCCAGGGGCTGGGGGAGCTACTGTCTCATGGGGTGGAGTCTTGGTTTTGCACGATAAACAAGTTTTGGGGGTGGATGGTGGGGAAGGCTGCACAACGTGAAAGTACTTAATGCCATGGAATGGGACACTTAAAAAGGGTTAAAATGTACATTTTAGGTCATGTACAATTTATCACAGTAAAGAAAAAACAAACAGACTAAATAAAAAATGCATCGGAATTGTACAGGATTTCATGAATTCAGACCAGAAAATGTGAATGCCCCCGACGCACCCTGAAAGTGGGCTGGTGCCACCGGCACCCGGCCAGGGTCACATGGGCCTCTTACCTGGTAAGTGTGCAGTATCTCCAGGAATGACCTATAGATCTCTGGGTGGTCTAGAAAACGGGTCTTAATCTTGTTCACGTAGCTGATGGCGTTGTTGAACTCCACGGAATCCGACTCCAAGGGCACCTGGGGCTTGTCCTCCTTATACAGCATCTGCGGCTTGAAGTTCTCCGCACAGTCATTGTGGTTGTGCGCATTCTCCTGACAACAGCACGACAGTGAGTTACTGGCAGTCCTGACCCCGAGAACAGATGTGAGATGTGAGAAACGCTGGACAGAGCCCTGGTCCGTCTGGGAGCAAGCGGCACCCAGCAGAGAGCTAAGGTTTTTAATAAGATGCAGGAGAACGTTCTTTGTGGGGACCTGGAGGGAGGGAAGTTGGGGGGGGTGGTCACACCCACACATGGGCAGATAACGCCTCCCTCACCACACAGTGCATCTGCACTGTCCTGGGTGAGTCTCACCAGCCCACCTCCATCTGATCCAAGACCATTTAGTTCAAATGACACCCAACACCTTGAAAAATGAGCATGCGGTAGAAATACACGGCAAGTGGATTGTTTAATCCCCCTGGAGTGGAGTTTGGGGCTGCTGATAAAAACAGCTTTCCACACCTGCTGTCAGCAGTGCTGGGCAAGTGGGGACCCTGGAGGTGAGTGGGGCCACCACCGCCCAGGTTGTCTAGGACCATGGGACTCGCAGTGCTAAATCAGGGGTAGTCACCTGAGAGAAGAGACAGGCCCTGACTGGTCATTGTGCTTGCCCTCCCTCGGCAGTCTTTTCTAGCCACACAAAGACAGAAAACAGACACACACGTCTCTCTCCTAGACACCCCGAACTCTGATCTGGCGGGGGACAGACCCCACCCTCCCTGAAGGAGGGGGTGTTTCTAAACTGCAACTTCATGTGTGGTTCTAATGACTCCCTGCAAACCACAACTGGGCTGTCATGGGTGCCCCCCCACCCCCACCCCAGTATCCTGCGGGTCCCACGCACACAGGGGCTGGTTCTGGAGCAGGCCAGGGAACCCCCAGCACAGCTCCAGGGGTCTGTTAGAGGGCACCTTCTCAGCAAGTCTTCCAGAACGATCTGCGCCAAATCAAAATGGCCTCCATCTCCCAGCACGCCAAGCCCCTTTCTTGCTCCATCTTCCTCTGTGGCACGGGTCACCTTCTCACACACATATTTTATTTGTTTTCGTCTTGTCTACCCCTGACCAGACGGCAAATATCCACACTGTTCACTGCCATAGACCAGGTGCCCAGAACAGTGTTTGGAACGGAGTGGGCCCCAGCCACTGTTGGGAATCATCAGACGCACGGACGAAGGAACAAACAGTCTGGTGCTTCCGTCCGTGCTCGGAAGGCACGGGGCACCAAGTTCGGACCCGAAGGCTCCAGCAGGATGGGGAAGGGCGGGCACAAAGCAGCAGGGCCGTCATCAGGACAGACGTACTTGCTGGGCACACTTGCTCTTGTCGGGGTGGGTGTGTACTACTGTGCTCCGGCTGCAGTAAGGAAATACCATGGACTGGGCAGCTTACACAACAGAAATATATTTCCTCACAGTCCTGGAGGCTGAAGTCCAAGATCAAGGTTCAGCAGAGGTGGCTTGTGGGCAGCCATCTTGTGTGTCCTCACATGGTTGGAGGGTTGGGTCGGTCCATGTGTCCAAATGTCCTCTTCTTATAAGGACACCAGTCGGACTGGATCAGGGGACACACTAAGGGGCTCATTTACCTTAATGACCTCTGTGAAGGTCTCCAAAAACAATCACATTCTGAGTACTGAGGGTTAGGACTTCAACATATGAATTGGGACTGGGGGTGGTGGTTGGTGAGAGGACACAATTCAGCCTGAACTGTGGGTACTGAGACGTTCTAGAAAAATCTGAGGCAAGACAAGCAGAGACACAAAAGACCCACACCAGCTACAACTCTAAACAGCACCTCTCCCTGGCAGTGGGATACATCCTAAGGCCCTCTGGGGACTATCTTGCTGATTACCACATTCCTTCCAGGTGTGCTGGCCTGGCAGCAGAAGGAGCTAGGAGGAGCCAGGGAGAGGTGGGAGAGGGAGCAGCCCTGGGGTGGAGATTTGCTTCAGAGGAGGCTGAGAGCTCGTTGGAGCTCCCCACCCCTCCTCGGGGGGCACTTTCAAGCTCCGCATACCCCTTTCCCACACCCTGGACCAAGGCGCGGGGACAAGATGGAGAAGCCTCCGCACGGCCAGGGCTTGGCAACGAGGACCCGACGGTAATGGGGCAGCTGCTCTGGCCAGCAGCCTGGCGGTTCCTCCGTAAGTTAAACATAGTTACCACGTGACCCGGCAACTCCGCTTTCAGGTACGAACCCAAGAATCGCAAAGAGCCGTGCAAACGACTCAAACGGCTACTGGGAACGGATAAACACATGTGCAGCATCACTACGATGGAATATTCTTCAACTACAGAAAGGAACGTAGCTCGGACACAGGCTACAGTGAGGGTGAACCTTGACACCGTGACGCTGAGCGGAGGAGCCCAGACACAAGAAGTTACATACAATTCCACTGAAACGAAATGTCCAGAACAGGCAAGTCTACAGAGACAAAGTGGATTAGTGGTTGCCAGGGGCTGGTGGGAGAGGAGAACTGTGAGATACAGTTTCTTTCCGGGGTGATAACAATGTTCCGGGATTGAGGGGGGGATGGTTGTAAGATAACGTAAGTATGCGCAAACCCGCCGAATTATATATTTCAGTTACAAAAAATGAATTTATGTTACCATGAATCTCATCATAATTTAAAAACATTTTTAATATAATCTCTGGAATATGTAAAAACCACTCTCCATACAAATAGAAGCTGGCTTTGGCTCCTGGGCCAAACCCTGCTCTAAACCTTCCAGAATAATCCAGATTTTTCTCATCTGTGCCTGCCGGGAGTAGCTTCATTCAGGCATAATCTGGTGTAGTCCTACTAGACACCAGGGAGCAACCCTGCACAGACCACCCTCTGAGTGGCCGCAGCCCCACCTGGATGCATGTGAGACCCCTCATCAAAGAGCACATTCCAAACGCAGAGCAGCTTCCCTGCCGCCCCCCACTGCTCCCAGGCCCCCCTCACCCCAGCAGGTGCAGCCACTTTCACCCAGAGGCTGAGGCATCCTGGAATCTCCCTGCACTTCCCACTCTCACGGACTCCCTATCCCTGGGGCCACATCGCTGCCCACTGCCTGGATCACCAGGGACCCCTCCCTGGCCCCCAGATCCTCTCTTGCCCCCCAGTCCACTTCTGGCACCCCAGCCAGAGTAGCCTTTCTGGAACTCTCCCCGCTACACTCACCCCTGTACCCCCCCCACAACCTCGCAGGCTCCCTGGCTGTTTCTCAAGCACTCACTCATCACCTCAGGCCTTCAGACCCGGCCTGGGAAACCCCTGCCCCAAGACACAGGCAGGGTTCCGATCTTTCCCGTGGCCTCTGCCCTCAGCCCCTCAAGCCCTGCCCCCCTTCACTCACTAAAGTCCCTCATATCTCTCTCGTCTGTCTACATTTTTTTTTTTTTTTGACAGACAGAGATCACAAGTAGGCAGAGAGGCAGGCAGAGAGAGAGGAGGAAGCAGGCTCCCTGCTGAGCGGAGAGCCTGATATGGGGCTTGATCCCAGAACCCTGGGATCATGACCCGTGCCGAAGGCAGAGGCTTTAACCCACTGAGCCACCCAGGCGCCCCACTTCTACCTGTATCTCGAGGGTCCCTGCTTTGATGTGCGCATGCCCAAGAGCAGGGACTCTGGATAAACCCCGCCTGCAGCAGAAGAGGTGGTTGACACCTGCTCCGTGAGGGACTAAGACACAAATACAAGAGGCGACCCAACAGGGACACACTAAACTTCCAGATGACCCTCCCCATGGCAGGCCAGCCTCTGAATGTAAAGGGGTTACTTATCAGATGAGCTACGGGTTTAACCTTTACCTGTGTGCAAGCTGGCTGCTTCTGCAGCCGACCCTGAGGGGGCGGGCTCCCAGGAGGCAGGGGTGGCTCTGAACGGAACGCCGGAGCTGAGAGTCGTCACCTTCCCACCGACACACTGTGTCTTGCTCCTCCAACACTTGCCCTGCACCGCCCCGGAAGAGGGACACGGTTGTGAAGCAGCCAGACAAGGGTCCTGCCTGATCTGGACTCAGTCTGCCAGGCAAGCCAGATCAAGACACAGCAGGTTTTGAATTTCAAACCCTAGCTTTGCCATTTTACAATATACAAAACTGGGTGACACGAGAATGACTGGGGGTGGCAGCAGAGGGGTCTCTGTGGAGTGACGTTACAACTGAGGCCCGCTGACCAGCTCTAAGAGGATGCTGACTCAGCAGGCTGTAGCCCCAGCAAAGGGACATTCTTCCCACCATGCAGCCCTGGCCTTCCTGGGTGCACACGCCCCACATCATGGCACATGTCTGTCTGTCTTCCTCTTAGACTTGTGTTCTCAGTGAGGCTGATTCTGTCCCGCAGTGGGCACTTAGCGTTGTGTGGAGACACTTCTAGGTTGATACACGGTGGAGGGCAGAGGCCGGGGTTGCTGCTCAGCCCCATATAGGGCACAGGACAGCCCGCTCCAGAAAAGAACAATCTGGTCCCAAGGGCAACAGGGGCAACGCTGAGAAACCTGCACCAAGGGCTCCCCACAGCTGGGGACTCCCCTGACTTCTCTTCCTCTGCACCTCAGAGCTACTCCCTCCTTGCCTTGAGTTGATAGGACTCACGAGGACATGAGAAACGAAAAAAAAAAAAACATCGAAGGTGTACATCGAAACACAGAAGCTAGAAAAACCAGTAAAACAAAACAAAACAAAAGTCACTGGGGCGTGGCACGTAGGGAGCCCTGAGAAGTTCTCGGGCTACTGTGGCCTCTCCAAGGATTCCAGGCCATCTCATCTATGCCTGGCAGGAAGGAGTGCTGAAAGCAGGGCAGGAAAACCAGCAGGTCAGCTGACGTGGGCAGAAATGGAGTGGGCAGCAGGAAACAGGGGCCCTAGACGTCGTGGCTTCGGGGCTCTGGCAAGACCACATGGCTGTGTGGTGAAGTCAGGGGGAGACAGGGCTGGTCCCGTCTCACTGTGTCCACAGCATGTCTCCACGGAATGAGCACAACAGCAGGGGCCTTGTGGCTACTGACTGGAAAACGAGACTTCGGAGCAGTTTGCGTTGAGATCCAGCCCCGCAAGCTGAGTTACTCCGACAGCTGGGGACCGAGCAAGGCAATTTCCACAAGTGTCTCCAACCTCAGCTCTTTCTTAGGGAGCGATGGTCATGACCCACCTGTGTACAGACTCGACTCGTCCAAGCGTGGCCCTGGGCACCGCTGCCAAGGAGCCTGCTCTTCTTCCCAGTCGCTCCGGTTCCGCCGGTGAACCCCGCTAAGGCTGCTGATCTTCTGGAGCAATGAGCCCTACACCTGGATTGTGGTGCTCCACTTGTAAATGCGAAATGGAAGCAGCTCTTTGGAGGTCAGCAGCCACGCGCTTCCGATTTCCTTTTCAAAACCATGATGCTCTCCTTGGCTTTAATGAGGCAACATGCTGGTGGCGGAGCTTGCCTTGCATAGAGAGAAGGCAGAATTTACATGCAGGTCCCTCTCAGAGAGGGGGCGGTCACGGTCACACTGCCTCTGGCCATTCTCCTTCCAAGTTTGACTCCTGCATTGATAGGAAACTGCTATCTCCTTCATCAGAGGCCAAATGGACAGAACGCTTCCTGGGGTAGGCTTTTTTAATATTCCCCGCTAAAACCCAAAGCCCTGGAGCAGAGACAGAAGAGGCTGGAAAAGCTGGTTCACGGAGACCAGGGGCTCTCGATGGGGGCGATGTGGTTCCCAGGAGTCATCTGGCAATGCCTGGGGATGCATCCGGCTGTCAACGCGGGGCCAGGGCCTTGTGGGTGGAGTCAGGGATGCTGTACACATCTCCAGGCGCACTGGATAGCCGCCCCACCTCCAACAGCATTACGGCAACGGGGCCAAGGGAGAGGAAAGGCAGTGGCTACTCTGTAAGAGTAAAGCCCACACAGACTTCTGTGTTCTCAGGGGGTCTGGTGGGCTTGGGCAAGAAGGGACTGCAGGGACAGAGGAAGCAGCAAGCTGCCACCTGAGACAGAAGGAACCAAAGCCACAAGCCGAAGCTGAGCCAAAGACCCTGCTGGCAACGAAATGCGGCCCAGCAACGACAAAATGGCTATTCTCACATGCGTCTCAACTGCTTTATTGTGTGGCTGGTCCCTGGGATGATCAGAGAGACCCCACGCCCGAATCCGAGTGCGGCTTGCCTGGCGCGCTCCCAGGGAGAGCATCTGGGTAAGAGCCTGGTGACGGTGGGTGGTTATTTTGACAGGACATAGGACTGTTAGGACAATGCCCCCCAGACACAAACAACCACATCCACTCTTGATCTGAATCCTCCAAAGGGACTGGTGTGGGGTAAACAGGGGGCTGGGTAGGGACTCTGATCTATTTTGACCTGCGTTAGAAGCGAGCACCGTGTCTAGACAAAGACTGGATCTTTGCTGCCTTTCCGGCAGTAAGACACAGGCGGGCCGCCTGAGCTGGGTGACTGAGTACCACGGCTGAAGTGCCAGAACCATCCCTCAGCCCGCCAGAGCGGCGTACCTGGCTAGACAGAGGCGACTGCATGTTTAACTTGCCGTTCTTGGGAATGTCTATTCTGTACCCGAGGGGAAGGAAGGCGTTGAATCCAACAATGAGGTCAGGGTGTTCGTGGAAGAGCTGCGACACACGTCGGATGACTCCAGGTGTATCGATGCTGGAAGAAAAAAGAGGGAGAGTGGGAGGAAGTGTCCTGGGGAGCACATGGAAAGCCAAATCTACTCCCAACTCGCTTGACAGTGCCACCTAATGAGCTTCTTGAAGGACAACAAAGCACCCTGCAACGTGACCAGTGTGATTCAGCCAGTGTGTCATCTACTTCCACAGCTGCCAAGCTCGGGCTCCCTGTGCCTTCCTAGCGAGAACCACAGGACATTTGCATGACACATCTCCCCCAAACACTCCAAGCACACACACACTCAGTTCTGAAAATGCCAGGAGACCAAGGGAAAGTCCAGGACTCCAAGTAGCGGCAGGAGGCCCTCTAAGCAAGGTGATGAACTATGACACAGGCGTTAATCCCAGCAAGTGACAGCAAGGCATAAATACCAAAGGCCCTGCAAGCAGGGGCTGCACAACAATGCCATTGGTCTCCCTTATGGCTGTAGGGGGGACCCCTCTCAAGGCTTTAGCTTGTCTCTCCTGGAAGGAAAGGCAGGCCAGCCCTGCCACGTTTCCTCAGAGTGGGGAAAGCAGCCTGGTTGGGGATGTGACCACTGAGAATCTAAGAGTCAGAGTGCCCATGTTCTAGTCCTGACTGCCCCTAAGATTGGTCTGGGCAAGCAGCTGGCCCACTCTAAGCCTAAGTAAGCCTCCTGTCAGAGGATGGCATGATCTCCTGGTCCCCCACCTAGTTCTAACCCTCCTGTGTGCCTACAAAATCAGCCAATGTGTTTTAAACCCCTTCTATGTGCCAGGCCCCTTACAGAGCATTTTATGCGCATTACTGTCTAACAGGCCGGGCACTAGGGTGCCACTGGGTGAGGCACTCACCTTGCTGACAAGATTTAAGGGGGAGAGAGCGCCAAAACACTCAATACTCAAGACAAATAACATTGTGGTATAGTGCTTAAAAAAATTAAAATTAATTTTAAAAGATCCTTGGTGAACAAAATTCCTTTATTATCATTTTGAGTAAAGACAGAACCAGACTCTCTTGCTTGCGGACTTCTCTCTCTCTCTTGCTCTCTCCTCACCCCATCCCTGCTCTCCTTCCAGGAATCCCCACAACAGCTCCACAGGGGGGTACTCTCCACTCCCGTTTTTCAGAAAGAACTGAGGCTCTGAGAGGTTCCACGACCTGCGCAAGGTCACCCGACTGGGGCGGAGAAGCAGCCGGGATGGTGGGTTCCCACTCCGCTCTGCCGGATCGCGGCCCAGGGCGGCCCCCCCGGGGTGAGGAGGGGTCCCGCGGGTACCTCTGGCTTTTGAACTCCTTCATGATCTCCAGGAAGCCGTTGTAGGTGGCAGGGTCGCTGCCGAAGCGGATCTTCACCTGGTCCAGGTAGGTGAGGGCGTCCTCCACCTGCGGGGAGGGGGAGGGTCCTGATGGGCGGGGGTCGGCGGAGGAGAGGACGGAGGACAAGGGTCCCTGGCGGGGAGGGGAACGGGCCGAGCCTCCGAGGAGCTGAGGTAAGGGGTCAGGGGTCTGGGGTCCGGGGCCGTGCGGAGTGGAGGCCGAGGCGGGGCCGGGCGGGGCCCGGGCGAGGGGCATCGGCCCCGGGGCCAGACGACAGGGTTCCCAAGGGAGAGTGGGGGCAGCACTCACGTGCACCGGCAGTTTCTCGTGGCCCGCGGAGCCCGAGCGACCCCAGCGGGCGCCGCTCAACCCCCGGCCCGCGGGGCCACCGCCGCTGCCACCGCCGCCGCCACCGCCGCTGCCGCCGCCAGCGTGCGCCATGTTGGAAGTCGGAGCCGCGGCCCGCCCCGCCCCCGCTCGAGGGCCGGCGGCGCACGCGCAGGCTCCGCCCCAGATGGGGCGGGGCTTGATGATGCCGCGAGGGGCGTGACTCCTTGAAGGACTTGCTCTGGGATCTTACTCCCAAAATTGAAATGCTAACCAATTCCTTATATAGTGCAACTGAGCAAACCGAGACCTGCCCTTTGCTTTTGCCCAGCTCCACTAGCGATCTAATAACAGTCTTCACAGTTTTAAAAGATAGAAAAATTTCAAAAGAGAAGACTACTTCGTGACACGTGAAATCTCTGAAATTCAAATTTCGGTGTCTGTAAAATAATACTGGAACACAGCCGCACCCACCTGTGTACCTATCATCTGTGGCTACTTTTGCACTATGAGAGCAAGGTGAGTAGCTGTGACAGATCCTAAGATGTGCAGACCCTGATGTATTTACCGAAAAATATTTGTGGATCCCTGGTTTATAGGGTTGATCTGACAACGGGCCAGGGGCACACAGCACTACAGAGGGCCTTGCCAAGTGCACTTTTTGCTAACTGGCTCTAGACTTAGTTCCCTTCTCCTATCTTCACTTCCTTAGCCCTGATCACATCATTTCCCCAGTGGACCAGTTCAGGAGCCTCTTAAGAAGAAAAATTACTAAATTTCTCAAATACTTACAGCCCATTGACAAGTCCTTGAAACAGGCAGAGTGAACTTCCTCTAGGGACTCACCTGCCTCACTGTTACTACTTTGTTAAGGGCAAAGAGCAATCTTAGCCTGATCCCCAGGATCCTGTAAGTCTACTTTAACATATAAAAATTCCTTTGGAAACTTCCTTTATCTTTAACCCCCAAGATACATGTAGGCAATCCTCCCAAGCATATGACCCACCAATATACATCTGATGGGTCTCATGACTCAGATTCTATTAGATGTAATAAGACTTTCCCAGCAATAGCCAGCCCCCTCAAGGTCCTGGAAAACTTGCTTCCAAAAATTCATTAGAGACTTACGCTATCCCTAACCCCTCCCAACCTGGAAGTATGTAATCAGCCACTCCTCCTGGCCCGGAGGGCAGCTCTTTCTGCCCATGGGTCCCGCCCCATGCTTTAATAAACTCATCTGTTTTGCACCAAAGCTGTCTCAACAATTATTTCTTGGGAGAGGGAGAAGCAGGCTCCCTTGTGTCCCCTCTCTCACTATCTCTCTCTCTCTCTCTCTCTCTGTGTCAAATAAATAAATAAATAAAATCTTAAAAAAAAAAAAAAAGAATTCTTTCTTGAACCCTAACATCTTTCCCACATCAGCAAGAACCTGGCCCTTACAAACCTTTTCTTATGGAATTTTCCACCTACCCTCTCTGCCTGCCCAGCCTGACTGCTCCCTGGCCCCATGGGCCAGCACACACCATTTCCCTTGTCAGAAGCTCTGTCCTATGCACTCTTCAAAGCACAACTTAATTTACTCCCCCCACCCTTGCCGCCATCCCCAGTACATCACTTTCTTCTTCTTCTTCTTCTTCTTTTTTTTTTTTTAAGGTTTTATTTATTTATTTGACAGAGAGACACAGTGAGAGAGGGAACACAAGCAGGGGGAGTGTGAGAGGAAGAAGCAGGCCTCCCAGTGATCAGGGAGCCCCGATGTGGGACTCGATCCCAGCACCCTGGGATCAGGACCAGAGCCAAAGGCAGACGCCCAAGGACTGAGCCACCCAGGCGTCCCACCCCCATCACCTCCTTTTTGTGCTTCAACTCTAACACAGATTCCTGATATAGAGCCACAACCGTGAACATTTATCAAATGAATGAACTTTCACACAATGACCAAATGGCATTTCTTTTTTATATGTGAGGAAGCGCGGGAAAGCTAAGAATACCTTGGCAGGGAGTACAACGCTTGCCAAGCCCTGTGTCAGGATTGGAATGGTGAACAAAACAGGCAAGACTTTTGCCCTCATAGAGGTCTCAGTGTTTTCAGAAAGATAGGGATCAAATAGTCACACACACAAAATGCAGTTTGAACTGTAATAGATCCTTCAAGGAAAAGATGTAAGTATTAACACGTACTTTGTTCCAGTTACTGTGGCTGAGTACCAAACCACCCCAAGATTTAGAGGATTGAAACGACAACATTTATTTGCCCTGCAATCTGCAATTTGAGCACTTGGGCAGGGAAAACTCATGGCTCTGGTCGCTGGGTAGTTGGAAGGCTGGGGCTGGAATCTTCTGAGGGTTTGCTCCCTCACACATCTTGTCAGTTGCTGCTGGTTGTAGATTGAAACCCATACCACGGCTGTTCCCAGGAATACCTCCCGGCAGGCACCACATGCAGCCTTGTAGCGGGAGAGTGAGGTTCTTGTCTCACGGAGTCGAAGAATGAGTCTCACTGACAAAGGAGGGTGAGCAAAGCAATCGAGTTTTATGAAGCAAAGATACAGAAAAAGCTCTCAAGAGCGAGAGGGGTTCCGGTAGGGTTGCCAGTGAGGGCTTTTCATCTCTGGCCTTTTATTAGGACTCGACCAGGAATCTTGCCAGTGGTTAGTTACGTCAGTGGGTCTGGAACCAGACATGACACTTATACATTGTATGAGAGTCTTTGTTTCTTATGACATCTGGGATCTATAGATCTATTTTGCTAGGTCTGGTTAATCTTCATTGTTAACGTCTCCTTTGAGGCCTGATCATTTTTCCTGGTTAATTTCTATTTTCTGTGGTTACAGTGTAATTACTAGAAAAACAAGTTACCCCTAGCAGTTGGGATAAGGGTTCTGGTTTTTCTTCCTTATCTCTATTTTTGTTCTGTCCCAGTGTCTGGATACCTGAAACACCCTCAGAACCTAATTGGGACCCTTAGTCTTTCCGTACCTGAAGTCCCTTCCTTTCCCTTTTCAGCCTGAGCATCGTGGCAGCTGAGTTCTAAGAACGACTGTCCTGAGAGAACCTGGGTCATTGTCCTGATCCAGCCTCAGAAGTCGAATTTCCATGGTAGTCTTTCCATAGTGGCTGTTACAAAGTCCCTCCCAAATTCAGGGCATCTGGGTAGCTCAGTTGGTTAAGTCTGTTCTTGGTTTTGGGGCACCTGGGTGGCTCAGTGGGTTAAGCCTCTCCCTTTGGCTCAGGTCATGATCTCAGGGTCCTGGGTTCGAGCCCTGCATTGGGCTCTCTGCTCAGCGGGGAGCCTGCTTTACTCTCTCTCTCTCTGCCTTCCTCTCTGCCTACTTGTGATTTCTCTCTCAAATAAATAAATAAAATCTTTTAAAAAAAAGTCTATTCTTGGTTTTTACTCAGGTCGTGAACTCAGGGTCGTGAGATCGCACCTCACATTGGGCTCCACACTCAGCACGCAGTTTAAGTGAGATCCTCTCTCCCTCTCCTTGTACCTCCTGCTTGTGCTCTCTCTCTCTCTCTCAAATAAATAAATTAAAAAAAAAAAGATTTTGTTTATTTGACAGACAGAAATCACAAGTGGGCAGAGAGGCAGGCAGAGAAAGAGAGGGAAGCAGGTTCCCTGCTGAGCACAGAGCCCCATGCAGGGCTCAATTCCAGGACCCTGGGATCATGACCTGAGCTGAAGGCAGAGGCTTAACCCACTGAGCCACCCAGGTGCCCCTCAAATAAATAAATCTTAAAAAAATAAAATGTCCCTCCCAAGTTCAAAAGGAGGGCAAACAGACTCCAGAAACTGAGGAATGGCCAGGTTCTGGAATAGCATAGGGGACAGGAAATATTGCCATGACAATTTTTGGAAAATGCTACCTGCCACCTCCGGGGATTTAACCTGGTCTAGCAGGGGATGAGGAAGGCTTCCCAGAGGAGGTGGCATTCTAGGTGAGTTCTGAGGGTTGTGTAGGCATTCACCATGAAAGCCAGATGGAGCTTGGGTGCCTGGGTGGCTCAGTCAGTTAAGCGCCTGCCTTCAGCTCAGGTCATGATCCCGGATCCTGGGATCGAGTCCCACATTGGGCTCCTTGCTCAGCGGGGAGCCTGCTTCTCCCTCTGCCCCTCCCCCTCTTAATCTCTCTCTCTCAAATAAATAAATAAAATCTTAAAAAAGAAAGAAAGGAAGAAAGAAAGTCAGAAGGATCAGCTGTACGAGGGCCCTGCAAAGGGAAGCAAGGTGGTGCACTTGAACTTAGAAAGAGCAAGACAGAGATTACCAGAGTTGTGGGATGGCAGAAGAGTCCAGGGTTGGCAGTGGGGATGGGGAGGTGCAGGGTAAGGGTGCCAAGGCCAGAAGATGCAGACCACTCATCCTTATGGGCTGAGTTAAAAATTTGGGTCTTGGCATTTAGCACCGGTAGAAACCGCGCGTGGGTTTTCTCCAAGTTGCTGTTTGAGCAGCTTTGCATTTGGAAGCAAATGCTCCGGCTACTCTGTCGGGAAGCAATTGGAGGGGGGCCAGGGAGGGTGCGGGGAGGCTGTTTCATCATTTAGAAGGACGATGGTGGCTCAGACCAGGAGGTGGGCAATGGAGGTGGAGAGAAGGGGGGAGGAAGGGAGCAATAATCAGAAGGTAAAGCAGAGAGAATGTGGTGCTGGGTAGATGGGGGGGGGGAGGGGTGAGGAGGAAGAAAGCCTCCAGGATTCGTGGCTCCCAGCCCAGAAAGGGATTCAGCTCAGTTTCAGCGCATTCCTGTATGAACATCAGTTAGGGTGGCCTGAACCCCTTGAGGTCACCAGATGTCTGGACTGTCACTCTCACACCAGCGCCTCCGGGCAATCTGTTAGTCACTGTCCCGGAAAGCCAACTGCACGTGTGGGCTTTTGACACACCGTGGGGTCCTCACTCCGTGCCTCCGCGCCTGCAAGGAGTGTGGGTCTGTTTGCATTTCAAGGATCACTTGTAGGTTTCCATTCTTTTTATGGATCTCATGTGGTCTGAGGAAGCCCTCACTCATTTGGAGAACAGGAAACCACAAGGCTCTTCTACCTTGGGTGTGTGTGCACATGTGCGTGCCTGTGTGTGCGTGTGCACACGTGTGTGTGTGTGTATTCAACATGTGGAGAG